GGGGGCGCCCTGCTGGTGCAGGAGGTGATGGAGCTGGAGTGGCAGGGGCTGCAGGCCGCCCAGGAGAGCCCGCCGGCCCGCGGGGGCGAGGAGGGCCTCCCCCAGGTCAGTACACGCTCTGGGGCTGGTGCGGTCTCCAGCATCGACACACTGTGTGATGCAGGTGTATGGAACGCGGCGCTCTGCAGCTGTAACAGCTGGCTGGAGCTGGCAGTACTCACTGTGTCTCCTGCAACTAGCGCGGGGTGCGGTGCTGTGGGAGTGCTTTTGCCTTTGGGCCCATCACCGTGGAACTTCCTTATTTCCTTCACAAACCGCATGTGAATCCACAGCACAGGGTGGGTTCCTCATCTGTGGTTTTCAAAGCTGGTGCGTCACTGACCGCTCCTGAGAACGGGAATAAAACTAAGTGTTTTAAAAAGTAATGTTTTGGACAGGCTGTGTTCTGATCCATTGTGGCTGGCTTTGCATAGGTGCTAACATTATAGATTGCTTTACACAGTGCATGGTTTTGCAAATATAGAGATTTACCAGACAGAAGAATAAGCAGAATGAATTTACGTTGCAGTGGCAGCTCAGTCAGGTGCTGGAAGTTAAGTGAGAAAGTAGCCAGAATGGGAGAATCACTGACTGATGCACCTTTCAGATGCTAGAAGACCCCGATGAGCTAGCAGTGCTGGAAGAGATCCAACAGGAGTTGATCTTGCAAGGTAATTTCTCTTACACATTTTCTGACTCTTATTTGATTTATAATAGTCCTGAATTTCTAGTAATCCAAACTCACTGAGGCTGCGCTCCCTTGTTCTTGTAGGCCACATGATATAGAAGAGCCTCCTTAGAAATCTCTGTAGCCTCTCTAATGCATTGAGACCCTTTTTGACAGTTTTAAGAGTTTAAGCAGCACTTTAAGGTCTGTGACAAACTAATGAGAGAGGAGACCGGAGAAACAGCACCGAAGTGTTTGGGAGCTGTAGAAACCTGTATAAATCAATCCAGAATGTTTCTAAATTGTTGGTTGGAAAACGCAAAGTCACCCACTTGAGACTGGCTAAAGATTGAGCCATAGGAAAAACTGGATTAACAGGAATGATTTCCTCAAGTATAGAAATCTGATCCAAAGAAAGAAAAGTTCAGAAACTAGTGGCTGCCCCAGCCTCCGTCCACCCAGCAGCTTCACGCGTGCTGCTTTGTCTTCAGTGCCTAACAGATGCCTGAGGGTATTTTGCTGTGTTATTGCAGAACAGTCCGTTATAGAGGAGTACGAGCGAAGTCTGCAGTTTGATGAAGAATGTCTCAATGCGATGCTTGATGGCTTGGATGCCAGCGACAAGGTCATCTGCCCAGTGTGTAGAAAGTAAGAAAGCCCGTGGCATTGGAATACTCCCCTGCAGCTGTTTGGGCTTACAAACAGGCTAAAGTAGTGGGCAAACAGGGGCCGCTGTTAACTTCAACAAAATAAAAAACCCTGAGCGACGATTTCCTAAATCTAACAGGTTTTTTATGCTAAAACCTACCTTTGTTCTGGTTGTGGTGATGATGCTCATTGTATGCTCTTTCTAGGAATAACCTGACTGTGAGGAATCATTTGGTTCTTTGCCAGTGCGGATTATACATCAGCACACAGGTAAGCTATGCTGGGAGGAGCGTGTTAAATGTGACACCTTATCTCCTGCTGCAGAGATGCATGTTTAAGCTTTGGACAGCAACTTTAATGTAAGATTTCTTTTAACCCAATTTTTCTCAGGGTATGACAGAAGGGAAGCTTCGGTCACTTCTAGAAAACACTATCACAGAGCACAGTCACAGGTGCTTTCACAACCCTGAGTTCACAGTTACCAGTGGAATGGAGGAGGAAACCAGTCTTCTCATGAGCTGCCCGGTGAGTCTACATGTCAGGTTCCTGGAAAGGATCTCTGCTTGGATCCACTGCTCGATTACATGGGCAGAAACCACAAGTCCATTGATCCCCCTGGGGTTTGTGTTGCTGTTTTTCCAGCAGCTCCATTGGAAATGGTTATACTTGTGACCATCAGTAACTGTAAAAGGAAGAGCCAAATTACACAATTTACCTTAACTGCAGGATTAGGGGATCTCTCAAGGACCTGTCAAACTTAGTGCCTTACCTTTCTCACACCTTAGCCAATCACTTCCAAATTTTGTGTGTTCACACATCTGTTCAGGTAAGTGGTTCATGAGGAGAAGTTTTAAAAATTACTTCAGTTTAAGCCTCCTCAGAAGGCTCATCCATACCTCTTAGAAAACACATACCATCCCTTTGGCTCAAGCTACAGCTGGCAAGCTTTTAGCTTTGCTGCTTACCTAAGATCACTGCGTGTACCTACCTGGTGAGGACAGTGTCAGGAGCACGGCATCTTAAATTGTTTTGAACATTAATAATTCATTTTATATATTGCTATAGCATCTCTGTTCAACTTACCTTTTGTAAAGGTCTGTGACTCCTGGACAATTCTCCTGTAAGTGGATTTGGCTGTTGCATTTTACTGGAAGGACTTCAAGACTGAAAATCCACCCAGAGCTGCTAGTATTTTTATGTATATACTTGTAACTGCTGTATCAAAAAGATACTTGAAAAGGCAGTAGTACTGCCTTGACCTGCACTTTTAATGGCACAGTATATCTTTTGAAATAAATATACTTAGTTTATTCCAGCCTTTGTGTTGTCTTTAACAATGCATCAGTGATCTCACAGCTCACACTAGACTACAGCTTTGGTTTCTGTTCAAGCTTGCTATGACCTTCAGGCAACAACTGGAGACACGGGTTTGAGTAGAAGAGCGCAGCTGCCGCCCTGCAGCGGTTCCTCGGACATCAGCAGCCACAGCCCTTCAGTCATTCTGCTGGCACGGAACTGCCCCAGCCTCCCTGCGGTATTTTTTTAAGAGAGCTACATTACATTAATACTAATAGAACAGCTTATGGCAGCACATCCCTCTTTAAAATAGCTCCTCAAACACAACGTTTAAGACCCTGAATTCTACTCCCTAACATACAGACAGCCAAGACTTCTGGAATGAGATGCCTATTTGTAATTAGCGCTGCCTGGCCAGCAAACTCCCTCCTACGGACGCAGCTCTGACAGAGGCACACCGTGTGGCTGGAGGTGCTGGAATAGCTCTCCCTGGAGAAAACTCCAGGCCAGCACACACTGCTGCTGCAGCAGCTCTGCAGGCAGCTGTATTAGCACCAGCAGAGGGAAACCCCAGCATCAGTTGTGTGGCAGCTCTCTGGTCAGCAATGGTACAGCGGGAAGAAGAGAAACCACCAGTTTTCAGTGATATGTTGAACAGATTTTATTCTTCACATTCATTCATAATTGTACAAAAACCACCAAGAAGGGTGAGACAATTCCCGACTGTAATGTTAGAGACCTTGATCTGGGCTGCAACATAAATACAAATTCCCAAATACAAGCAAGACTCCTCATTCTCCCATGATGCTCATTTCCAAATTCAAAGTTACTCACTCTCTGCATCTGTTGTGAAGATATATTTGGGTATCGCTGCCTGGAGCAGTGCTGTGGAATACCCACACTTGAAGATAAGTTTCCTAGCGTAACCTACTGACATTTGACAAAGCTTTTAAGGTCTTCAAGGAATTTAATGTACTCCTGGTGCTCCAGTGCAGTGCTGAGCTCTATTAACTCATCAGCAAATGTGTTGTCCACTCCTCGATCAGCCAGGAAATCCATTAAGTGATCGTACAGAGCCTGAAAGCAATGAACAGGAAACTTCCTTAGCAGAGCACACCTGGATAGGGGCTGCTTTTAAGATGTCCCACGGTGGTTGGCATTTCTTTCTCCCAGGAAGATGAGGCCACCTCCCACAGGAGACTGGGCAGCTCCCCATCCCTTTCCCAGCAGGCCTGGCCTTGGGCTTAACACTTGGAGGGAGGAGGACCTGAAACAGCTCATCCAAACATGGTCATATAAACCCAACACTACAAATGAGCTGCACTCTGGAAGTGATCAGCTGACGGCAGGAGTCAGCAGGTAAAGTCTGTCAAAGATCACACCTACCGAGCTCTGCCCGTCCCCACTATGTAGCGCTGTGGCCTTGGGGGTGAGTTGCTATAACAGTGTCTGGAAAGGGGGGTGTCTGATGCAAATATTTGTTTGAGAGACCGTATCTTTTACAATCATTAACTCCTTTTTTTTTTTTTTTTTCCTCCTTCTTTAATCCTACGTACCTGTTACAACACCAGCATACATTACTGCTTGTGGGTTCCCCCTGCGCTCCTCAGGAGAACCAATTCATTATTACTGCTTACTGCGGTGATGCTAATACCTGTTGTGTGGTTTTTATTTGGTTTTGGGGTTTCTTTAACAGACCAGTATTACTAAGCAAATGATTAATTTCGGACTTTTGTAATCTGAATAGATCACAAATCCTACAAATTTTTTAATTAATTTTCTGTCTCAAGTCAGAGAGGGGAAAAAAAAAAAAGCAGCGTGGGATGTTTTAGAGCACACTAACCCATTCTAACATGAATGCTTCCCAAAGAGAGACAGATACACTCTAGGAGTAAAGTTTTAATCATATGATACACAGCCTCCAACTAAGATTTAAGCTTTTGAAAGCCTGGCATTGAGCACTTATAAGCAGTTGCCAGGTTCTCAGGCATGCTAGCTTTTAGTGTCACCTCTATAAAACATACCTGGAAACCCCAGAAAACACAGATGTGCACACAGATTAAAAGATATCTGAGCAAGCATCAAAGCATCTCTAAAATGTGATACAGCTGCTAGGAAATCACCAGCTTACAAAACCTGGAACAGAGCAAGTTTTGGCATGTTGGTCTCTGACTGCCAGTAACGCCGCCAGCACTGCACAACAGCCGGGACGACGCAATAACCCTCCGTTGGCAGCAGAACTGCTGTCTCATGGGGCAGAGCAGGGGAATCCCCCGCCTCAGGCAGCAGGGACAGGACTCATTCATAACTCCGGAGCAAACGGGGGCGAGGTACTAAGTGCCCTCTGCAGCCTATGGCCACATTAGCACCACTTACCCAGTCCAGGGAATCCGTATTGAGGGTGTAGTTGGTGTCCTTCCAATCTGATTCTCCGGTGGGCTGAAAACTGACCTCCCGAATTGTGAAAATATCACTTTCTTCCTCTCCCTCATGTCCAACCTGGAACAGGAGATGAGATGTGAGACACACATTACCTCTAACTACTGGGTGCCTTCAGCCATCTCATCCCGAAGTTAGGACTATTACACTGCAGGCAAAACCCCAAGACCAGTGCAAAAGCTATGCCTCTCCCCATTTAACGCGTGCCTGTGCTGTGCCTCTGCCCTCTCAACACGTGCGCGTTAAGACAAGCACAGACATGCACAAGAATGCAGGAGATCCCCGAAGAGGTCAGACTACCAGCAGTGACCTGATGTCAGTCAGCAGCCTGATTTTTACAAAGATGTAAAAACCTCTTCTGCGTGGTTCTAAACCTTCACACGTCTGTCCAACCTTTGTCAGCCAGGACTGGCTGCATAAATGATCTGTTAAGGTTTACAAAATAAACCACAAAGATTAGTCTGAACCAAAGCTCTCAATTCTATGTCGTGTCCCCCCTGCCCCTTTTTTTGTTAAGCCCTACTTCTCTTTGTGACACCTCACTACAGTGAGGTTTGCAAGTTACTGACACGCTGTATTAAATCTATCTCGTTTTGGCCATTCTTGTTTAGCCCTCTCAAGTTGCCACACTGTTCAAGTTAAGCCATGCCTCCCTCCTCTAACGTAATTCAATGAACCGGGCAATAAGCAGCTGACCAGAAACACCAGGTCACGATGTGAGGAATGCACACCAAGCCTTTTTCTTTGTGTTAAAAAAAAGAGAGATAAGAGGAGACTGGATTTTCTGCTGATTCCGAAAAGCAAGAGCCTGTAAAAAGCACTTAAGATTCCACAGCAGCACAATTACACTACGCTCAAGCAGGAAACGCACACTGAATCACAGCCCAGAGCTGGCTACGGCTGACACACAACCAGTTTGATACCCACCTCGTCTTCGGGGTAATGGCAGTCGAGAACAAGGGTCTGTTTCGTGTCATCTTTTATTACTTCCACAACGAAGTTTGGAGTTGATGTAAGATCAGGCTAAATAAGAGAAGAGTTGCATCAGCACTGGAGTCTGAACAGGAGCCAGAGCGATGACAGTACAGCCCAGCAACACAGCCCAGCTGGCGCAGGTCGTTCCCTGTCACCCTCTTTCTGGGAGCATCCGCCACCCCCTGACAGCACGGAGAGTCTGCGGCTCAGCCGGATGGGTCCCTCCAAAGAGAGAGGAACTGGCAACAGACTCAGCTTGTTCTGAGCGCAGGAGCCGGTCGTGCCTGCCCTCCCTCACGGCAGGGCAGAGTGACAGCCAGACACACACACAGGTGTGCAGATCAAGTGCCCGGCGCCTCCTCAGCGGATACAGGCACACCCGGGAGGGGAAGCAACGTACAAGTGACCCCAGTATCGTCCCACCCAGCTGAGTGCAATGCGCTGGAATAAATACCACCCTTCAGAAAGTGCAATTTAACTGCTACATACAGAGCAGCTGCATTGCTGACTCGTTCAGGATCAGTGTCACTGCAGATGAAGCTGTCTGCCTGAAATTTTATTGCTCATTTACAGTTTGTACAGGCATTCTGTCTTATTAAACAGGAGCAAGATGCTTCTGACCAACAAAACCACACAAGTGGAATAGCTCTGCCTCTCCTAGACACTGCCTCCCAGCACCGCGAGTTACGCCAGCCAAGTACAAAAGGCAGTATTTATTGCAGGGGGCTGCACAGGCAGGAGATACCCAAGTCCCTCTCATTTCTCCTCGCTGAGCCCTCTCACCCTGCTCTGCCTTTCTGCTGCAGAGAGGAGGGTCACAGCCAAGTGACACCCAACCCAGAAAAATCTGCATTCTGTGACTTAATGCTTCCAAATACCAAGCGAGAAAGTAAAAAAGCCCTTAACACTGAAGGGCAAGGGTCTAACTTCCCTCCGTGTACCCGTCACTAAAGTGCACATCAAGACTAAGTTACCTCCTGCTCATCAGGTTTCTGATCATCTTGTGTTTCTTCATCAGCTGAGGGTGGAATGCTGTTATTGATGTTGAACGTGACCGTTATCCTTCAAAAGAAACAGAAGCTGTTACTTTGAACGCACTCAAATACCCAGCAAAATTTCTTCTATTTGAAGCTTTTGTTGTGGGGACAGTACTACTGGTTGAATTCTAGACGCGTGTTGCAGTTTAAAACCCACGCCTGAGTGCAGCTGGCTTCCTCCAACTGCTCTAACAAATGAGTGTCTTTCAAGTTTTATTAGACTATAAACTGTTACTTTTAAACGTGTGAAGCTTTGTAACACACAATATAGGAGCAAACTTGTGTAGAAAAAAAAAAAAAAGGCCTTGGGCTCTGCGGGGTGCAGTTTGCGTAGACGGGTCAGAGAGCAATAAAAGTAACACGAGCACGAGGAGAAATGGGGTGATTATTGCAGCCCCTCGGGCTCGCCCGGGTGAATCCTTCCGAAGGCCACACTTACTTCTCCCCGGCGATCTTCCGCACCAGCTTGGCCTCTGTGCCGTGGACCTCCAGCTCCCACCCCCCCGACACCTTGGGCAGGGATTTGTGTTTCTGGATCTTCTTCTCCTCTTTGATCTCATCCGTCAGGAACTGCGCGAAGGCCTTGTCGCCTGGCGGGAAAGGAGGGGGGGTGTTAAAGAAAGGATGGGGGCGGGGGGGTTAATGAAAGGGGAGG